ACTGTTTGAACCCTTCTAATTTTCTTTTCGTCAAAAGACGTGTCACAAAAAAGTCTACCTTATTATATAAGATAATATAATTATACGATTAAAATATTAATCAATTATAATAAAGCTAAAGTATCGTTTAGGAAAGTAAGAGAATATTTGTATTTTCAAACAAAAAAGAAAATTTAAAGATATTTCTTTCTGTATTAAGCAGATAACTTTTAGAATAGCAATCGATAACTGACTTCTAAAAATATTATTGTATATAAGAAATCAATTTCGACTTTCAATTGATATAATATATATTATATTATAAAATTTTCATTTTAAAATTTTTTTTTAATTAATTTAATTCAATTAATCAATTTTTGTTAATTGAAATTTAATATTTCTGTCTTTTGTTCTTTCAAAGTACAAAACATTAGCAAAATTACCAATTTTTAAATTCTGTAAAAATATATTTAAATCAATTTTTATACTAAGTTAAGCGACTTCAATTGATGCCAACTAAAAAGTTATTTTCCATTGTAAAATTATTTAAATTTGTGTAAAATTTTGTGTTTGAATTTTATTTCCTTAACTCAAATGGTCCTTTGTGCCGGAGAGCAATTTACAAATTGCAAATATTAAAAGCAAAAACACAAAACAAAAAATAAAAAACAAAAAACAGACCATACAGACCATACAGAAAACTATAAAAACCCATAGAGCTCAGTTCAGCCCAGTACAGCAGAGCAATAACGCAATGTAGCAAAACAATAACAACAAAAATAAAATAACAATAACAGCAATAATAAAAACATCATAGACAATAAAAAGAATTTTTTTTTTATTTTATTCATTCATTAAACACTTCATATACTTACATTTCATGCATTTCCCGACCGCACAGAACAACCCACATTCAACGAAAATTTATTGTTGTACTAAAAAAATATCGAATGTACATGGAAATTGCTTGATTTTCCTGCAGCTCTCCGCTCCATTTCGCAGTTCTCGAGACCATCAACGCAGCACCGAGCGAGCGGGGCCTCGTCGAGTATTCATCGAATTTCATAATTTTATTATTTTATTATTCATGTTTTTATGTGCAATATTTATGTTCTGTTGGAATTGTTTTGATTGCCAACGAAGTGTAATATTTTCCATAATTTCGGTTCAATCGTACGGGGAGCGCTTCGAACCAGAATCCAAGCGGTTCTGCAGTAAATGCAAATATTGTGATCATTTGCTAAAGGACAGCTAACAACTTCCATTCTCAAATTAGGCGCTGAACTTATCTCCGATTAAACTTTTCAAACTGCTCTCGAATTGCATTTCCCCGTTCCCGTTCCAGACTCCCCACCCAACTCGCTGCGACCAACAACAACAAACATTTTTGCATATACCATATTGCATTTGCAAGTGATTTTTCTGAGTGTATGGGATTCACAAAAATTGTATATATTTTTGTTCTTGTTTTAGTGTTTTTTTTTGTTTTTTGTTGGTCCTGACAAATAATTTGTATAGCACAAGCCAAAACTATCGCTCTGAGTGAATTTGTGGACACAGGCGAGGGACTCAAACAACGATTTCGGTAATATATTAATACGAATTTACGTTGTAATTGTTGTTTGCAATTTCAGCTTCAGTTTCAGCTTCGGCTTTCAGCTTCCAGCTTTCAGTTTTCCGTTTTCAGTTTCGAGTTTTCAGATTTCAGTTCTATTTGACTTTCAGTTGCATAGTTTTCCCGCACATTAAAAGGATTAATGACCAACAAAGTTTTAAGTGCTATAAAAGTCGAAACGTTGCACGAAATTTAGAAAAATAACAGAACCAAATGCTTTCAAATTTTCATCAAATTGGACACAAAATCCTTTTTCCATAAATAAACAATAAATTTGAACAAAAAATTATTTTCCAACAAAAATTTTTCATTTGTAAAATAATAACATTTTGTTTTTTTAGGTCTTTTTTAATTACATCATCTAGCTTTCAATAAATATTGTACTTTTACATATACCCATATATGTTTTTAATTATTTATTTAGTGAAATAATTTTAAAATCAAATAAAATTTTATCGACACGCAATTCAAAATAATTTTTATGTGCAATCTGGCAATATTAGAGCAACGAAAGTGTGATTATCAGCACAATTTTTATGTCAGTAGTAAACACATTTACATAAAAAGATAATATAATAAACTGTTTATTTAATGTAAACAACTAAATATATTCAATATTTAATTTAATTTAAATAATATAAAACATTTGATTATGTATAACTAACAAGTTGTGCTTCTCTGGAGTTGCCAAACTTATATATATTGAACTGAATGATATAGCAGATGATATGGCCACAAAAGGCTTCAAAATTGACATATGGTGTCTGGAGACAAATCCCGATAAAGAAACTGTATAGTAACATAGATGAATTCAGCACTGCAGTGTTGAATAGGTTTATTTAGGTTGGAGTCACGGCCTTGTATGCCAAGAAAGTCCACTTTAGCACAAACAATATTCCTGCAGTTGTAACACCACAGGAATAGCGTTAGTTCCTACATAGGCAAGAAGTTCAGTACACGACTATCACTAAGAAAGGCAATGATTCCCCCATTAGGTAAGAGTAAACCAACCTGACAATTCTATGAATTTGGCTTAGTCCTTAATATTGCTGGACAACAGCTCAGACAGATCGGTAAGAAAAAGGTCCCCTAAGATTTTTGATCTTTTTCTAGCTAAAGATGGCTGCTGACACATGAAACGAAACACAGTTAACTCCTCGTTCTCAGAACTACAACTATGACAAAGGTCATTATAAGGAAGAGATAGTCTCATACATCCCCTTCTTATGCAGTGGCCCATCAGCAACGATACCGTAGTGCTGAGTAGGTTCCACCTTAGTTGAAGTAACGGACTGGTACATTTTTTTGTCCAAATCAGACCAAGTCAACCTAGAGATAGTGTCGAATAACAAACCGTAAAATCTGTATTCTCACTACCGTCTTATAGCTTAGGTTAGACAAGAAAAGAACACAAAACTCATTTTGGTTTCAACGAACCTGCAATTGGTGTATATGACTACTACTTTGTATGACTACTACTTTTTTATGGTTTTTTTCAGAACGGCACGCGAAAGGGGCCGCGTAAATACTGCAAGGATTACTGCAGTTCTCTCTACTTACTGATATATAGGAACCCAAGTAAAGAAACTGAGCATTCCTTTTTATAATCCTATTGTAGTGCAGGAAAAAGAAAAAATCAAGAAACTTTTTTGGCCTCCAGAACTCAAAAGTTTCTAGAGAAGTACTCTTTTTGGCAGTTTGTCAGACTATTTATCGATAAGGATGAACGCTTTATTATCTGAATTTAATATAATATTTTCTGAATTTATTATAGATAACAGATCTACAGTCTATTATCAATAATAGATTTGTAATGGGTAATAGATTTACTATCTATTTTCTGAATTCAACTGGATGGATTTACTTTTTGTATTTTTATAACTTAAAATTTCTTGCGAGGAATGTGGTTGCAAAACCGTGACAAAGCGCTTATTAAGATCAGGGGAAAGTTATCTGCTGACTGGCACTACAACCAATCAACCAACCAAACGAAATAACTTCAAAATTAATGAGGTCGTGTCTTCAATGGTCTGGTTGAGATACTGGAGGTATGATAGTCTGGTAGACTTTATCTGAAAGTTCAAATGGTGTAACTAGGATATCACAATAAGTTATTGTGAAAATAATGTTTGGTCTAGCTCACCTGATCATTTTTACTACATTGGCCTTAAAATTTACCATTGAGGATTAAACAGTCTTAATATACACGAAAATACTTATACGGTATATAATTCTTATTGTCAGTATATTGCCAAACGCACTGATATTTTATCATTTGATTTGTTCGCACAATACCGTACACTGGAACTTTATACAAACTGATCATTCTATATATTTATAAATCGACTCTCTAAATTAATTAGTTAACTTTATCATATAACTTTCATTTGGAATAACTTGATTGAAATAAGTTGATTCGTTACAGCAGTAACAGGTCAGCTAATATCTTTCCACATACCCTAATTAGCGATTATTTATCGATTATTTACTACATAAATGGAAATAGTAAGTTTTTGTATCATATTTAGTACAATTCTTGGAAGATATTTAAAGAGATAAAGACTAGAGCCATTCGGGAATTTTACAGATCTTTCATTCTTATTAATAAACAGCCAGATAAACTATCATAAAGATACTGCGCTAACAACCTATCTGTTTTAAATAGCATTCAACATTGTGAGGTATTGAAACATCGACAAAACTCAAATAATTTTTTTTAAATAATTGCTATTTTATGTTAAAGATTTAAAAATTAAAGCAAATATAAATTTAATTCCTTTGAGAAATATTTTTTGTGTGATTTCACTTCAGGGCAAAATAAATTTATTTATGTGCTGCTCAATTTCAGTTGTTTACTTTGTGTTTTCCAAATCATAAATAAAATCAATTTCCTAAAATGGCATATTTAAATTATATCACTTGAGTTACACTCTATTTAGAGTTAATTTATCTCTTGCTATTGTACTTCTTTGCTAATATCCATCAAAAACATATTTAAGAAATAATTTACATACTTTTCATATATATAAATTATTTAAATATTCGAATACAAAGCAAACAGAATTTATGTGAGTCTTTGGTAATATCTATCAATTGCAATAGAGAAACATAAGATATAAATTCGCACCACACACCCATTATCATCAACATCGCTCATCATCAGGAACATGCTTAACAGCTCCCCCGACACACGCACTAGGAAAACCAACTGAATGTGAAAAATATGAAAAATCCAAACAAATCAACATTCCTTACATTTACTCCTCGCGTACAGTTCCCACCTCAAGTCATATATAACAAAAATCTTTTGACGCCCCAATCACACCAATCACCCCACTCATCCCATTCATTCCATTCAGCCCACTTATAACAAGGAATAAATATGAACAAACGTCTGCTTACTTACCATCAATGTCGGTTGCTTCACAACGCCATACTTGGCCGAAGGCGCCTTCTCCCAATATGTTGAAGAACTTCAATCGGTGCCTTGGGAATTCCCATCGATCGTATTTATTCTGACTGGCATTGTTGGCGCCAACACCGCCTACGACACCATTCAGCATCCCACCGCCCAATACACCAACCGAGGAAACATCACCAGGCACGGCAATGCCATTCATGGCACTTGTTGATAGCTGCGACGTTGCCTGCAATTGTAATTGTGTTCGATTCGGAAAGTTGGTGATGATGACGAAGTGAGTGGAACACATATTTGTTGGTATTCGTATTCGCATTCGTTTTCGTTGTCGTTTTCGTTTTTGTGTGAGGCGGCGTTGGTGGAGACGGCGTTGATGATGGCGTTGTCGTAACGTTAATAGAAGTGGCATTGGCATCGATGATAGTTTATTGCATCGTTGTAGGAATTAATGCCATTATTGTTGTTATTATTGTTGTTGTAAGTTTATGTCACGTTAAATATGGCGTCATAATACATAAAAAAAATTGTAAAAAGATAACAAAAACGAGTTAAATCCAATCTAGATTTATTAAAATATTAAAAATAAAGTTTTAAACTTAAAATAATAAAACTAAATAATAGTTAGTGGCTTTTTTTGGTTATAAATAAAATGGATAAAATTAATCTGTAGTCTAAGGGAATTATTTAAAAATTGTATAAACCACGGAATGCAGGGCATAAATGAGATTCAAACAAAAGGTTAGTATATTAAAAATCTTTTTAAATTTAAATTTATTATATGTATATAAAGAAGAAAAAGAGCTACGTTAACCATTCGCACGAGGTAATGCCGCGCTCGGCATCCTTCCTCCACGGGACATCGAAAATAAGAAGAAGCATAGCAAAAGAGGGACATGAGAATATAAGGAAAAAAAAATATAAATAAATGGAATTTTAAAAATAGAAACATGCAAAATTCCGCATAATATCACACTCAGCGCATATTGCAAAACTGTCAAAATGTTTAGATTACTGTCAGCAAGATTTGCATTTTGCTCGTACTGCTCTGACGCAGCGCGCACAAAAGTATGCAAGCCACAAGAACTCCGTCAGTGCAAGAAGTAATATGCAAAATATGAGTGGGTAGAGCGTGGCGATGTGCAACAATGTAGGGTTATAGATTGCAAGCAAAAATTGTTGCATTTACACATTGACTTCTATTGGATAAAGAAAAACTTGCCAATTCTGCAGTTAAGACTTGCGGCCCAACAGAGAGAGCCTGCCAGAGTAATGTTATCTATAACCAAGCAACGTTGCTTAATACGACATATAACTTGATTAAATTTGTTCGAAAAAATGAAATGTAGTAGATTTTGAAAGGATGATTAGCTCTAACTGATATACCTTGAAAATTAGGCAAACATTTTAGTCCTCACTGCACAAAAATCTAAGGAAGATTTTCTATTACATCATAGCACAGTTGCAATCTGCAGTGCACAGCTATTCGGTTATGTAAGGTTGCCACGTTTTTCCATCATAACATTTTGTCAGCTACATTTCTGACAAAAATAGGACGAGTAAAGTAGAATAATTTGAATAGAGTAGAGTTAAGTGAAGTGGAATGAGTGGAGTACGTTTGGCAAAAGAATAACAGAAAATAAAATATTTATCTATTTTGCATTTATCTTACGATGAAAGCAATTTCAAAACGAAACACAACTAGTACTTGCATATTTTTCTATATATTTTTGCATTTTTCACTGCAAACGAATGAGTTTCTTGTGTCATGGAAAAAAGATTTTTTGTTTGGCAGTGGCAATGTGAGTAGTTGATTGGGTAAGCCATTGACAATAAGCCGAGTTGTAGTTATACCACAATTGGAGAAATTGACGCAATTGAATTCTAATTTGTTCGCAAAACATTTTAAGATGATGTTGTCTGAATGATATCACAATGCCAAATACATGTACACATAATACAAAGTTCAAAGATGAACTATAAAGATATTGGAAAATCAAAACATTTTTTTCCTACATATATGAAAAAATATATTTTCAAGATATGATATGTCACTGGATGAACTTATAATGACTTTATTAAATTTTAATTAAATTGAACTATATTTAATATATATTTAGATATTATCTGCCACAGTGTTCATCTATATTTATTAGGTTTTCTATTAAATTGTTATTAGTAATTTTTTTTTATCTTCTTTAATTATAAATAAGAATGAAACATACAATATTTTCATATTATATATTGACATCGTGAAAAGTTAGTAGTTCTTATCAAATTCACTACATTTTATAACTCTGTTAGAATAAGCGTTTGGATATTTAGTTATGGTAATTAATTCGAAAACATACTAAATTTCCATAAACTAACTACATTTTTGTTGTTGTCCTTTTATTACTATTCAAATCCTTTTAATATGACATTTCTTTTCCTCATGAGACGCGTAACATTCGACAGAAAAATTAACATTATACTAAACAAATTTTTTATATAACATTTAATTAATAAATATTATTTAAACTACAATAAAATATTCATTAGTTGGTATATTAGTTTCTATCCAATCTTAATAGTATTTAAAACAAACTTCCAAGTCTCTATAACTGCAATAGCAGCAACTTTTTAAAAATTAATTTAAAAAATATGAGTCTTTTGTGAAATAACATAACTGCGACTAAGTAATAAATAAGTATTGCTAACTGGAATTTAATTATTATAGTCGGTAGGTATACCGACGATCCTGAGGATCAATTAAATCCTATTGGACCATTGCGTCACGCTTCAAAAAACTCAGGAGTTTCAAACCACCTTGACCCTTTGATATAGCTTAAAATATTTTTTAGAAGGCGGTCTTGAAGTTAATCAATATAATCAAAAAAGTAAGCCCCTAAGATTGATAATTGAAACCGTGTATGCTCTGGATAGTAACAAAGTAGATGTGCAGCAGTTTGATCGTCCTCCCCAGAAATGTATTAGGAATAATTAAACGGAGGAGTCAATCTTCTAGTATCGTTCATGAATCGGCTGTGGTCA